CCCCCCCCCGTGTTCCCTCCCTAAGTTGTGGCCTAGAAATCCTCCCAAGGCATTAGCTGGGACCTGCACAGCCTCACCTCATCATTGCCTAATTCTCAGAGACCATTCTTCTTTTTTGCCTCATGTCCAGTGTCTTATAAACCATCATCTCATATATTCTGTGCTTTTGTTGTAGTTGGGGTGGAGAGGTTGTTTCAGGCAAGACAGTAAATGGGGTCCCTGTTAACTCCATCTTAGCCTAAAGCAGAATTCTCTAATCCTCTCAGAATTATTAATTTTAGGTATTTTAAGGAGAATAATATACACTTTCATAGCTTTGAAAAATGTACTATTTGCAGTTGAATTAAACAGTTCTGATTAAGCTCCTTGTGTTTCAGAAAGGATGGTCTGAAAAAAACATTCCTTTCTTACTTATTTTTTTAATGCTGCTGCTTAATGAGCTTGTTTTAATTCTTAAGATACTTGTGTCAACTAGTAGCATCTTTTTTTCAGATTAATATCAGAGTACAAATGATTTGTTTGCATTTGTTAGGGAAAGTCCACGTCGTAGTTGTGCCCTTCCCCCAGAGGTGAGCCACATACCCTGACACTGTGCCTGTTGGGTGCAGCACACCAGTCCTCCTCCCCACACTTGAATTTCATTGTGTTTCTCTGTCGTGCGAGTGTATACTTGTTCATCTGCTGGTTTCATACTAGTATTGAGTACATTGGATCCTTGTTTTTTCATTGTCGTGATATTTTACTAAGAAGAATGGTCTTCAGTTCTATCTAGGTTAAAACAAAAGATGTGAAGTCTCTGTCTTTTTTATGGCTGAATAGTATTCCGTGGTATACATATACTACAGTTTATTAATCCATTCATGGGTTGATGGGCACTTGGATTGATTCCACACCTTGACAATTGTGAATTGAGCTACAATAAACATCCTAGTGCAGATATCCTTATGGTAAAATAATATTTTTTCTGGGTAGATACCTAGTAATGGGACTGTGGGATCAAATGGAAGTTCTAAGTAGTAGCATCTTAACTGATGCTGTAATAGAATGGTGTGGGCTCTGAGGCTGGGTAGATCTGGTTTACATGCTGCCTACACCATATTCATTATTGACACTTTGGTCAAGTGTCTTCCTTTCCTCTCTTTTCTTTTCTTCTTTTGGTTTTTCTTTCTCTTACTTTCTTTCCTATTCTGTCTTACATTCACTTATTCATTAATTC